AGAAGGTGGGGCCCATGAGTGCCTCCCTTGGGTTGCATGCCCTACCCTTATTCTATTTCCTTTTTTTGGTGATATGACATGTGGCTATATGGTTGAAAGATATTGACTAAATATTGACTTGATATATCTTTGAAAGATTGAGTAGACTTGTGTTATTTTATGGTATGTACAATATTCTGATTAGATTTAATTTATTTAATTTCTATTGATGAGAAATGGTTTAGAAAAAGGGGATAATGGTTCATGCACCTTCCATAATGTTGATGGCCCGTCTATGGAATGGATGACTCAAATCTCTCACCCCACAAGTCACCCAAGATCAATGGTTCATATTCAATCTAACAAGAAGAGGCAAGCTAAGGCAAACCCTAAAAAACCTTAATCTTATTCAAAGCTTATAAAAAGATATTGTCTCTACCAAAAAATCTCTACACCTTATCTCTTGTACCTAATTCCTATCTTTCTCTCTCATATCCCACAAAGGGGCACACCCCACTTAGATTTATCTCTCTCTTAAAAAAGGCTTCTTTCTCTCTCATGAAAGCCAAAAGCGGCACGCACCACTCTCTCATCTTTGATCTCTCTCTCCCACATTGTGAAAGAACTTAAGGGTGTAGGTTATGGAGTTCTTCTCTCTCTTCTCTCTCAACTATGGATTTATGGCTAGGGGTTTTAGGGTTTATCAAAAAGATAATCCATCTCTCTCAAACAAGGTTGATAAGATAACTAGGTTTGATTTTGTGATCAAAGGGGTTCATGTTCTAATGGTGTGGCTTGGCCTAAACATGCTTCCCCGGTTGAGATTGAAGGTTAATCATTGATCACGTGCTATCGGATCATGGTGATTCGGTGTGAGGTGTAATAAGCCCAATTGCGGTAATCTTCGGCACTCTTCCTTTTGTTTCTTGCAATCTTATCTATTATTCTCAAGCATAGTGCATAGTTGTTTCAATGACATCAAGTTGTTAAAATCTTGATTTTATTGTTATGTTGATTTTATTTTAAAATTGATCTTATTGTAATAAAGATCACTTGTCAGTTATCTTTTGCCAAAAGAAAGGGGTGAAGAAAAAAGAAAAAACAAATTCTCCGGTAAAAGATCACATAGGTCTTTCTTTCATACTCTTGATCAGTCAATCCAAGATACAGGAAGTGTCCTTAGAATAATATAACTCAACCTTTGGGGCCTCAACCTTAAATCTATGGTGAATTACATTTTGTGACCTTGATTTGTGCTACTCCCTGCTGCTGGTCTACATTGTGCTTCACCAAATGAGAAATTTTCTGAAATATCCAAAAAGGGCCCCTCTCTCATGGATCAGCATGCTCTTATAGACTTTGGAGAGAGAGTTTATTGAGATCTGTTGGGGTTGTTTTGATCTTGGCAGTTCATCTTCATTTGATGGTCGTTGATACAATGAAATAGATTTGGTTGTTCAGACTCCATCCAATTAGAATCCGTATCTTTTAAAGTTGGAATTTGAATTCTAACCACCATTCGTATTTTGGCAGCAAACTTTTCTTTGAATCATTCACACGGTTCTTTGTTGAGAATGGGATGGGCTAAGTTTTAAGTAATGAAGAAATTGTCATGGCTCGTGCTTTAGGATTGACATTTGTAGCAAATGTTAGCCAATTGGAATCCTCATCTTTGGATTCTACAAATGGTGAGTAGACTATTTGGTATGCCAACCAAGAGAACCATGAAGTCAAAGGATGTGATTTTTTTTCTACCCCATAAATTCCAACTACCTGATGGCTATACCTCTATGTCAAGTCCCCCATCGCTCTAAAACCCCATTCTCCATGGCCAAGAAGTGGAAGAGAAGAAGTTGAAGAAACCAAAGGAAAAGGAAACTCCATCAAAACCAATAATGAAGGAAGAAGAACAAAAGCTAAAGTAAACTCCATCAAATTCATCCAATACATCAATTGAAAAGCTCAAAGCTTTCTTTTAAAAATTTGGTGAATAGAAGATGGTCCCTTTTGATTTGATAAGAACCCATCTCAATATCCTCACCATGCTTGTAGAACCCTTCAACTCTCTGCATCCCCACCTCAAATCCCCCATGCTTGAACAACCCAATCTTTCTCTCTCTATCCCCAACCCAATTTGCCAACCCCATTTCAAAAGTGTCCCAAGTTCCCTAACACCCTACCAGAGCAACTGGTACGACCTAACCAGTGTTTAAAAAGATCATTTTACTTAAGTACATCCTCAACTACTTTGTTAAAAATGCACAAATGCAAGTTCTTTATTGGGTTTAGCATCATCAACATGCAGGATAATTTGGTAATAAGGTTCCACTTAAGTAAACAAAGCCAAGGATAAATACCATGCATGTTCTTATTTCAAACCCCAAACATATTTTTTTAATTAAAATCTCTTGTTTCAATTTAGAACCTAAAACAAGTAGGTGTATTTATGACTTGACTTGAGTGCCAAAGCAAAATGGCAAAACTAGCCTATTTTTCCCCGGTTCCAAACCTTGAACAGGAGGTTTTTCCATTAGAACTCTTTGTTGGGTTTGCAACCCATAAAAAGAGAGGAAAATTGCGCAATTTAGTGACAGTTGTTTCATGGCCAGTGTACTAAAATACCCTGCTTCTTGGATTCCAAACCCACGGCCATTTCTTAACAAAATTGTTGGGAAGTTACTTTTAATGAAATGATCTTTTGAAATTAACTACTTCATTGAAAGATTAGTTGATTTGACTACCTAAATGATTTTTTGTGATGGTCTTACCATTTTAATGAGAATTCTCCCTAGAAAGAAACCATCACTATCTGGTTTAAATACATGGATGAAGTTTCTACAAGGCTTAGGCTTTATGAAAATAAAATAAAGCCACACCTCAAATCCTCATCCTGAAAGCATTTTGGGCATCGAAAATCTTCATGATGGCTCTAAAATCAATACCCCACACCGATAATAAAATTTGAAACTCAAAAAATGAGTGTTCACGGATTCTCAAGATCTATAAGCACTTATTTTTAGGGTGAAATAGATGGTTTAGATGATTTGTTGCAATATAAACTATTTTTAGAACTTGAAAGCCTATTTTTTTTCATAACCATAATGTTCATGCTGAGATGATCGATTTAAAGTTATGAGGTGAGGCTTTACTTATTTTGATAGGGCTGCAGCCCTATCAAA